CCAGCCCCGAGCCGGGGTCTGCGGTGCGCCCCGCACTTCGGCTTCGCCCATTTCTGGTCAGTTTCGCCGGCGCGGCCGCGGTGGGCTGTGGGAGAGGCCGGGTAAGGACAATGGACGCATTTTCTAGGTCTTGCACCACGAGGGGTGGAGGGCTGGAGATCACCTACGGGGACCACTTCCCACCCCTCCTCGGGAGCCGCATCCTGCGTAGGTCAGATGCCGGTCGCACCGGTGACCGCAGCCGAGTCCGGGCTTCTAGGAAGGAAGGGTCAATTCTACCCTGGCTGGAGAAGAAGGGATTTTATTTTGCCAGTTGTTAATGTCATCGTCACCATCACGGCCACCGTCGTTAACATCCTATTTTAATTAAAATAATCGCCAAATGGAGCAGCTTGTCCCTTTAGCTCCCTAGGAGGGAGAACAAAGCGGCACAAGATTCGCCCCCTCCCGCCCCTGCTGTTTTCTAAGTTGCTGGTTTTGGGGTAAGGAGAGAAAATGGAGAGAGGGTCAGACAGAAATACCTTCCTAAGCAAACACTAACCCCGAACTAACCCTGGGAATGGGTGGGTTTCCCTCCTTCTTTCCTCCCCTCCCTCCATTTGGATTAGAAGAGAAAGAAAAACCTCCCGCACTGGATTGAAACCCAGGGAAAAATTATTCCTATATTCCCACAAAAGACGCAGCCAAAAGAAGGAAGCCTTCGCAATTAATTCAAGACTTCAATGTACGATCAAAAGCTGGACGTTTAGGCAAAAACAAATTAAAACCTACTGGGGAGAAAAAGCAACTAAACCCAGCTACACCCTTGGAAGCAGTATCGGGTTTGTTTTTTATCCTTTTCCCCTTTTGCTTTGTTACTGCAACAAAAATTATTAGTATTCCTTCTTATTCTGCCTGTTCAAACCTGAAGTATCGAAAATCATTTTGTATGGGTAGTAAAGGTAAGGGATTTCTTTTCTTTATTTCTTCTCCCCTTCCCCCACCCCTGCTTTTTTCCCCTCTCATCCTATTTTCTGCAATTTCTTTATTTCCTTCTTTCTGTCAATAGGAAGCAAAGAAAGGACCTGAATAGATTTTCTGTCCCTTCCCCCATCCCCACTCTATTCCTGCAGGGAAGTACAACCCTTGGAGTCAGGTTCTGGTTTCGCTTTGGGCTGGAGGTGGGTAGCTGGGGGTCCGGGGAGAAAGGCGAGGGCTTTGGGGGCAGGGACTCCGAGGTTCGGCCCCACCGAAAGGGGCCTGGAGACCGCATCCACCTTTCCCGACATGCCCCCCACCCTCCACCTCAGGCCAGGGTCGAACCCTGGACTCCTGCTGTGGTGCTGTGGCCGCTGCTGGGGCCTGGCTCAGGTTGCGGAGAAAACAGAATAGACAAGTCTGTGCTTGGAAAACAAATGGCCGTGTTGAACAACACCAACCCCAGTTGCAGGGTTCAAAAATGTTCTTGGCAGCTAGCAGGGAGGGGTTGTTTTTGTTAGAGTAAAGTTATTTCTGATTGGTCAGGTGTAGTGTTCATTTTTACAGGGACGAGGTGGGGTTGAATTTCTAGACACCTGCAGGGTCGGGGCAGAAAGCGGTTCGCGACTCCCTGGGCTGGTTGGCGGGAGACCCTAGGTAATTCCCAGCCATTGACCCCCACTTCTCTCTTGCCCTCCCTCTTTCTCTCCACCCCCATCTTTCCTGGAAACTGGCTTTGGGCGCGGCAGACCGCCCAGGACCACACCGCAGCCTAACTGCTGGCCTCTCCGCTAGAGAGGCTCAGAAAGCAGAGACCCGGAGCACAGCTTCGACCTCTCCTTGTCGGAAGAGTGGAGGTCCTATTCCAAGGGGCCGGTCTCTCTAAATATGCCCGAGGTGAGTATTTGAAGGGTGGTGGTGGTAGTGATGTAGTAGAAAGAATGTCCAGGAAGTCCTTGGGGTTCCCGCCTGGGGTGGGGGTGGAGTTGGGGGGGACCCAATCTCAGACTGAGGCTAGGGGAGGAGAAGACCATCAAGGGTTGCCAGTCCAGCATCTGACTGCCCTTAGCTGCCTAAGGCCTCCAACTGGGCCCTTTCCTTTTTCCGGCCTCCGGTGAAACCAGATGGTTGGACTATGGTAGGTCCTCCTGGTCCCCCAACCCCCAATGGGATCTGTGGACGTTTCTCAAGGCCGGTAACTTTGTTGTGACTGCATCCGGGTACTGCATGCTGCTTGGAGTTCAGCAGGAAGAAGGCCGAGGTCATCCCGGCCAGCACAAAGCCTTTGGTTGGGGTGGGCCTGAGGCCTAGGGCGAGCTGCGCTGAAACACCTCTCTGTTCTCCGAGCTCGGATAGCGCCCAGATCATTAGGGGTTGGTTTGGTGCAATTTTGGGGCTCCCCCTGGGTATCCTGTGGTATGAGTGGCACAAGAGGGACCCAAGGCCAGGTCTAAAGCAGTGGCTCAGACACTATTTCATCTAAGAAATTCTCTGTGCTTTGGGGATTGAGAGCTGCTGCAGACCCTTGTTGCCTGGCCCCAGCAAGGCACTCCTGGTCTCCCCCTTCAGCACACACTGAAACATTCTAGCCCACTGGCAACTGGGGGGTATCAGGGCAGCAAGCTGGATCTCTGCTGCATAAAGAGAGGAATTACAGCTCTAAATATTCTAGTCTAAAGTCATTCAGTCCTAAAACCACCCCCCTTCTCCATCCTCCTCCAATAAAATAAATACAGCAGATACAACTACTCAGGCTTTCCTTTCAGTAAACTTAACTGAGGTCAAGAAACGCAGTTTAGTCTCTGACAACCACAGGTGCTTGTGAGTCCTCTGGTGGCTTCCTCCTGGCATAGACTACTGGCCTGGTAAATCCTAGGCTAAGAAGAGCTGGCTGGATTTTCCTAAGGTGGGACAAAAGAAGTCTACCATAGACTGTCAGGAGGGCCAAGCTGTATTCCTCACAAGAAGCCTTGGAGATAAGGCTATTTATCGATGTCCGGAGAGGGAATTTTGGGCCAGATCAATTCACCTGGAATATGTGATCCCTTTGCCCCTTGGGAACCTGCCTGTGCTGTTGGGGTGGAATTAATCAGAAGGTATAAATGTGCCATAGTGGAGCTTGAGCTCAGCTGGGATTGCAGTGCACATTGTTTGTCACTCACATAGAACGGTAGGCTGAGGCACCTGTGCTTGACTGGATGGTGCTGGTGGTAATAGAGAAGTAGAGAGCCAGAACCTCCCTTGTGTCTTTCTCCAGAACCTGATATATTTTGGGTGCGTTTCATCAGCTGAAGGGAAACTAAGATTGCTCATATACTTTCTATTCATTTCCAGTGGCCTGGGTGTCTTGGCTGTGGTATTCTGTGGATATAGAACTTTTGTCTCTGCTGTAATTGTAAACTTGGTTTCAACCGTTTCTGCAGCTTGTGCACACCAAGTTTTAGAAAATGTTGTCATTTCCAGACAGTGTGGGACTGTGGGACCCAGAACAGCGTGCAGTCTGAATCTGTATTCTCTGTAGGCTGCAGGGGTTGGTGGCAATTGAGCCAAGTTCTGTAGGTAGAGGACTGTAGTCTCACTTCTGGGGTGAAAGGCAGGGTTCCAAGATGGACTCTGGTCCAGAGCATTGCTGTGGTCGAATAGGAGCTTGCTGGCTGTGATGAATTAATTAGATGACTTACCTTGAAGCTTTATTGCACCTTTGGTAATCTGTTCCACTTTAAAAATACCCCAGTTATATAATTCTGAGAATTGAACCCTATTTAATAGTAATTTATAAAGCTTATTGAATTCATTTTTTTATTATTAAAACAACTCACAAGCTTCCTCAAACTCTGAATCCTAGGTCTCCTGGACCATGCTGTAGCAGCTGGTGGAGGGTGGTTGGTTCCATGTGGATGAAGCCAGGTGGTGGGAGAACTCTAGCTTGCTTGTGGGAAGCAGAGTGGTCTTCGTGGAATATGGTTGTGGGGAAAGAGGGAGTTTCTAGCATATATATTCCAGCGTATATATGAGAATAGCGCAGTTAAAGTGGGATCAGAGTCCCATAAACCAAGGTGTGTGTGGGGGTGGAGGGCTGGAAGAGTTCAGGGCCTCATTGAAACCTCCTCCTGATTTTGGAAGAGAGGCCAGACCCCATGTCCTCAGAAGCGCTCTGAACTGCCTTAGCCAGGCCTTCCTTGCAGTGACCACACTTCTCTGAGTCCAGCCAAGGAAAATTCTGTGGAGTCGGGGTGGTGGTGCCAGGATCAGCGTCTTTCCTTAGTAATCGCTCCTCTACCTGAGAAATAAAACAGCACCTCGCAGAATAAATACAAGGTGGATGTGCTCAGCACCGTTAGACAGTCAGACATCCTTCAGAGCTGGTGAATTTGTGTGTATGGGGCGGGTGGAGCTGGTTCCTCTGGATTATTTTCTGCCAGCTCCAGAGGAGTGGACCCAAGTCCCTGTAGCTTGCATTCCTTACTTCCACCTCCACCAGGTTTCTGGGTGATGTGTGTGGGGTGTACGTGCGGGGCTGTAAGGTGGGGGGTGTTGCTAAGAGGTGGAAACCACCCCACCCCTTTCTGACAGATTCCCCGCCAAAAGCAAAAGCAGGAGGGTGGGGGCGGGAAGAGAACGGTCGGGGGTTGTTCCCTCCTCTTCCCTTGTGGCTAAGGGGGTCGGGGCAACTTTCTTTCTCCTCTTTGCATTTCCTTCCTCCTTTTATTCCCTTTGGTTTTTCTATCGCGGGCAGTATTCCTTTTCTTCCGATGTTTCTGCTGTCTTTCTCTTTGTCTTTCCTTTTGGCGCTCAGTCTCTGTGCTCCAGAGACGGCACCCCCTTTCCCCAGTCCGCAGAGACCCCCTTTCCCTCCGGCTAGGGGGCAGCCGGTCTTCAGGCCCCGAGGGCCGAGCTTTGTGTCCACGTGGCGCTAAGTTTCTCCGCCTCAGCGCGTGAGTCCCTCCGCAGTGGCCGGGGCGGCTGTCGGAGCTGGCGTCCGCTTGTCTGTCCGTCTGCCCGCAGGATGACCGAGAGGCCGCCCAGCGAGGCGGCACGCAGTGACCCCCAGCTAGAGGGACGGGACGCG